TGGGCTGAAACTTCTTTATTATTAAATGCTGCATTAATTATTACATTATAGAAAATTTGCTTTGCAGAAATATAATACTGTTCATCTTTTATATACTATTTTCAAAATTTTGTAAGTAAAATATATAGGTATATAAATAAGAGAATTGCGAGTTCAAACATTGCAGGAAATACAATCAGTAAAATAAATTCTTATGATATTAACAGAATCTTTTTTCCCAACAAAATTGAACTTACAATTAATGATAGATAGTATAATCTTAAAAAAGAATAGCCCAATTTTCAATATTTAATACTTATTTCTATACCTAATGTAAATTAACTTTAATTTCAAATCAACTTAATCTTCATCTTTTTCCGATTTTAACAATTAGAAAAAGATAAACAATCAAACCAAGATTAAAGTTAATCTTACATTGATGGAACCGGATCTAAGAATCAGAAAACGATAAAACAAATCAAACCGAGAGATTAAAATTAAATTACACTGATAGAAAGGGACATCCATCGCGTCTCAGGCCGGAATCCGACTATGCATTGAAGATTGAGATTGAAGATTAAAGATTAAAATTTCACCAATGAGAACAAAGAAATTCTGGCTCTTTTTGTTCTGATTGGTCAAACTTCAATCTTTCAATCTTCAATCTCATTCTTCAATGCGTAGTCTGATTCCGGCCTCGCGCAATGTGGGATAGAGAAGATGCGATCCGATGTTCAACACATTGTTCTTATCGTCGCTCGCTCGCTCGCTCGCGAACGCCGAGCGTCGGACGCGTCATTAGCGAGCCGATGACGGCCGGGCGTGCGGTCGCCGTGGCCAATGAAAGCGCCGGCACGCATCTCATTACCGATAATCGAAAGGCACCGCTCGACTTAACAGCCGACCGCGTAGACTCCAAACCGTGGAGAACGACGAACGACGGCGCGGCGTTAGCGTCGTGCGTTCCGTATCGTGTCACCGAGGAGCTTTAATAAAGCGTCTACGGACCTCGTTTTCGCTCGGGAATCATCCGCGAGGAGTATTTTTACGCGGGTAATTCCAAACGTCGCTGCGAGAGACATTCGACATTTCCTTTTTATTTTTTTCTTTCCACTTCCGCCTGCGGAGGAGGGACAGACGGAAGGCGCGATATATCACGAAAAATCGAAATTGCAGCAGAGGTCTGGCACCTTGCGCACCGTGGAACGCGCGTCAGCTGCGAATGACGAGAATGCGGAGAACAAAAAAGGCAATGCAAAAAGTGTTTACTCACTTCCTCGCGGCGACGGCGGCGGCAGCGACGGTGGTGGTGGTGACGGTTCCCTGCTGCTCGCTGAGCTCCGCGCGCTGTCGATGAATCGAGAATATCAAGATCGCTCCTCTGAAGTGAAACGCGTCGAGTAGCTGCAGGTAATCGTCAGAATTCGTTTGCCCTTAGGTACTCTCGTACATGCGGGAGGCGAAAATACCGGTGGCACTTCCGTCTCCCGACGTCCGCGCCGAGGTCCGCGGCTCTTCCTCACGGTGGGCGGGCCGACAACCGGTCGATCGCAGAAGTTCCAACTTCTTCCTCTTCCTCTAGTAACGTAAAACTCGGGCAAGTGTGCGCCGTAATTCACCGATCCGTGCGTGTATCCGATCCAATCTGCGCGAGGAAAAGTGGGCGACGATAAAAGTCAACGACTTACGGACGGCGACGATCGGCGATCGGTGAACTGATCGCGCGCCACGCGAGTAGCGTGTTTACAGATATATGGATATATATCTATCTCTCTCAGCGTCGCTCCCGCATGCCTACCCGCGGGCAGCAAGCCGCCAAGTGTCACTGGCACGTAGGTACGGCGCCGATCGAAACCGCGAGATGTTGACACGCGAAATGCGAAACGACATCCACATTGCACGGTGGTCTCGATACGACTGTTCGACTGCCGCGCCTCGCGGCTTCATGTCGCCGCGCGAGCGCCCGCGAATCTTTGCTCCAAGAATTATCTGTCGGTCAACAAGAGCACCGCTCGTTCCACCGGTCAATCGCAAAGCTCTTATCGCGGTCGATACCGATTAGAAAATGCCAGCTGACGCTAAGTATATTCATGAAATGTATTCATAAAATCTCAAAATAATATTTCAAGTAGGGATTCACTGGATATCCGGAAAGTATTCGGTACCCGATATTATCCGGCACTTTTTTATTATTCGACCGGATAGCCGGATATCATTAGTAGATATCCGGAAATATATTCGGTTTAAGGGGATGCTGGAGTGTCCTGTTTTACCATTTAATTTTTGAAGACTCTTTTCTCTTAATTGTGTTTATGGATTGAAAAGTCCTTCTTCACAATTAAAGTATCGATAACAACACAGGCTGCCAGCTACAATTTAATACGAAAAATGAAAGAAAATTTAAAACTTACAGTTTTGTTATCGGCTTCTGTAGTCGACACGTCACAATATGTGCTGCATATAAGAGTTTCAGATTTTACTGTTCAGAGTTTCTGTTTAAAATAAGTAGCTAGCAGCCTACAGAAAACCTCGAAGAACAATACTATGCCTGTACAAATGAGCTGGGAGCTTTAGTATAAGAGGAAAGAGTCAGGGGCCTGTAAGGCCCGAGTTGATAGCGACAACGGCACCACGTGTAAAAATTATAGTTGTGCGGGATGATTAATTTTTATAGTCTCTACGTGAAAACTGACTTATGGGGATGCTGGATGGACCCAATTATCGACATTGCAGATTGATCAAAATCTCCGAATTGACTAAATGGAATAAAAAATCCTTTTACAGGATTAAAGTAAACACAAAATTCTGACGTGGTGCAGTGGATTTTATACTAAAATAAAAAAAAAGTTAAAAAAATTTTTTACTTTTTTTCGATTTTAGTATAACATCCACTGCACCACATCAGGATTGTGTTTACTTTAATCCTGTAAAAGGATTTTTTATTCCATTTAGTCAATTAGGAGATTTTGATCAATCTGCAATATCGATAATCGGGTCCCTCTAGCATCCCCTTAATATCATTAAATTATTGTTTTTTCTTATACAAATGTTCTAGAAATAAATATGTATATTCATGATGCTATAATATCTTATATATTGTTGCAAAATTATACAATCCTTTTCTCTATAGGCTTTTTTTATTTTTATTTTGTTTTAGAAAACACTCGGAATTCGATCGGATATCTGGAAAATGTCGGATATCCGACTAAAAAAATTTGCCTTCTCGGATATCCGATATCTGATATCCGGTAATTTTACGATTCGGTGTATTCCTAATTCCAAGAATATTCCAGAATGTCCCGAAATATTTTCAGACTGTAAGAACAACATTTAAATAATCATTAAATATTTTATTCACACATCGTTATATATTCGCAGAATGTTCCATATAAGGGTGTTTAACGTAACGGCCACGATTTCTCACATACATTAATATGTATAAATATGTATAAACATACATAAATATTTATAAACACTTATAATCATGTATGATATATGTTATATATATTCAAACATCCCTCTTTCTTTCATAAAATTATACTCATTACTTTTTAGTGCAATAACAATAGTATAATGTAACAATATAAAAAATAATTAAAGGGATAATTTTCGCATTGTGTGTTCATTTTTGAAAAAAAAAAAACAAGTTTGGAAAAATGTCAAAAAAAATTGCTCATACACAATTATGCATAATTTTATTATAATTATACATAGTAATTTTTTTACATTTCTTGAAACTTGATTTTTTCTTTTCTTGATTTCTTGATCACCGAAATGTTACTTTTATTAATGTTTTATTGATTTTATTGATATTTAATATCAAATTTGTAACATTATTTGTAACAGCAATACTTTATACAACCTCTAACTAAACGCAGAATATATACACATACATCAGGAGACGCGATAGCGGCTCCCGTCAAGTATATTTTTGTAGTACATAATATAATACCATGTCATGATCATGAAAGAAACGCTACAGCGTACCCTTTACAGGAATAAACTCGCTTATATAATTAAAAATTATTGTTTTGTTTAAACAAATTGATGTTATTAAAAAATGCATATATTGGGAAAGAATATAGATTTTTACAATTAAAATGAAATAATAATCATGTCCATAAGTGTACTTGATGCTTAGATATGAATATGTGCACGTATTTTTCAGCCCAATTTATGTCATTTATTTATTCAGCTTGTCGTCGTCGTCGTCGCCGCTAAATTTTGTCTCCTTTTATTACACCTTTTTTCAATACTTTCTGCACTTTTTCTGAATCTTTTCTACATCTCTTCTGCACTTTTTTTACACTTATTTTCTGCACTTTTTCTACACCTTTTCTGCACTTTTCCGATCGCCGCTAAATTTTGCCTCCTTTTATTACACCTTTTTTCAATACTTTCTGCACTTTTTCTGAATCTTTTCTACACCTCTTCTGCACTTTTTTTACACTTATTTTCTGCACTTTTTCTACACCTTTTCTGCACTTTTCCGACATCTTTTTTACACTTGTTCTACATCTTTTTTGAACTTTTACTACATCTTTTCGACATCTCTTCTGCACTCTTTTTACACTTATTTTCTGAACTTTTTCTACATTTTTTCTGCACTTTTTCGACACCTTTTTCACACTAGTTCTACATCTTTTTAGAACTTTTACTACATCTTTTCTACATCTGTTCTGCACTTTTTTACATTTATTTTTTGCACTTTTCCTACATTTTTTCTACACCTTTTCTGCACTTTTCCGACATCTTTTTTACACTTGTTTTACATCTTTTTTGAACTTTTACTACATCTTTTCTACATCTCTTCTGCACTTTTTCGACATCTTTTCTACACTTGTTCTAAATCTTTTTTGAACTTTTACTACACCTCTTCTGCACTTTTTCCGCACCTCTCTCGCATCCTTCCGGCATCTCTTCCGCATTTTTCATGTACCTTTTCTGCACTTTTTCTACAACAGTATCACATCTCTTTCACACCTCTTCCGCATTTCTTCTGCACCTCTCCGCATCTCTTCTTACCGTTTCCGCAACTCTTTTGCACCTTTTCCGCACCATTTCTGTATTTCTTTTACATCTCTTCCGCATTTGTTCTCTACTTCGCATCGTTTTTGCATAGCTTTCCCAGTTCTTCTACATCTCATCTGTCTGTATACATTATTTTATTTGTTAACATATTTACTTATATATCTACATTATCTATTCACCTATCGATGTTATCTATCCATCTTCCAATGTTTCACCTATTCACCTATTTACGTTTTTATTTGGCTATTTATGATATTTATCACCTGTCTACGTTATCTATCTACTTATCTATGTTGTCTGTTTACTTCACGGTAAAAAATTTTTTAAACATTAATATGTATAAATATATGTATAAACATATATAAACACGCATAAATATTCATAATCATAAATAATTATATATGAAATATGTCCATACATTTTTTCTTTCTTTTGTAAAATTATTTTTTAGTCAATTTTAGTGTACTAAAAATAATAATAATATTGAGAAAACATGAAAAATAGTTAATGGGACTATTTTCGCATTGTTTATTTTAGAAAAAATCAAGTTTGGAAAAATGCAAAAAAATTTGCTCATACATGACTATAATTTTACATGCAACTATATATGAGCAATTCTTTTATATTTTTCAAAAATTCTCATTATTATTATTATTTTTAGTATACTAAAAAATAATTTTACAAACTAAGGAAGGATGTATAAACATGTATGGACATATCTCATATATGTATAATTATATATGTTTATGAATATTTATATATGTTCGAATGAGAGCATGAGTAAATTGATAAAGATTAACTAATATGAAGATCAGACAGAACGAAATTATAAGCTGATAGTTTTTAATTAAACTAGAAAATGATAATGAAATAACGATTTATTTCAAACAATGTTCATTTATTTATAATTTAATGTTTAACAAAAGGGGATTGCACGAAAACGAAATTATATACTGGTATTTGTTAACTAAGCTAGAAATTGATAATCAACCGGGAGATATTAAAAATGTAAAAAAAGCATAAAATATATTTTGCAATATCTTTACATAATCATCACATTACGTGTAACTATAATGCGGCATTATAGTTTCGCACGTCGTGTGGATATGTCTTGTCTTATTTTATATTCGGACGTGTTACATTTATAATGTGATAAATTTCATATTATTTTATCACCGACTTCACCATTGTGATGTGATAACAGTTACTTTTTACAATATTGACCTTATTTTTGGCGAACTTTTTATCAATATGGATTTTTTTGGATTTTCCCAGAGAACTACGAGGATCTTTCGCAAACGATCTTCCAATCGCTTGACGAGTTTTTTCGTCCCTCTGAGAGAATACTTCTATCATTACATTTAAAATGACCGGCGACTTATCTCAGTTTGTGAATTTTATGTATATTTTCGATATATGAATTATATATCAAAAATGATATATGAATTATATTGCGCAAAATTTTGTCGAACATCTGAAGAGGGTTCAAATTGGAAGCCGAAACTAGTCATGTTTAAATACTTTTTATTTTCTAATTTATTCTACTTTTGTAATTAATATATTAAACATGATATGATCATTTTAATATCTTAACGTATTGACTCTCGAGTGCCTTTTTTCCTTCTATGTATTTTGAATATTAAGAGTCCTGTACATTGTACCTATTTTTATTAAATAAAAGTATATATTTTTTATATAAAAATATTTCAAATACATGCCCAGCCCTAAATGTCCTCGATAAGTCGTGGAAAAGAGCAAATGACTGCGAAACAGGGTTGACAAGAGATGATTTTCTTTCTAAGAATAAAATATTGTTTTTTTTTCAACATATTTTTAATGTTGCATATATACTTTAAGCAGTATTATAAAAAAAACATGTTTAAAACATATATGAGAAACACATATGTGAGAAACATCGATTAAGCATGTTTTAAACACGCAATTTGAAACAGTTTAAAACATGTTTAAAACATATATGATCGACCTTATTGCGAAATACTCGAAATACGTTTTGAGGATATCATATGGAATTTCCTAAGGGCTTTATAGGATATTAAGAACATTTTTTACAGACTTTTAGAAAAAATTCTTAAAATAAGAAATTAATAAGATGTAGTTTTATTGGTTAAAAAATTACAAAATTAATTATTTAGTCCGCTAAAATCTAGATTAAAGACATACAATTTTCTGCCCAAATAAATAGCAAGCTGTCATCATTTTGATATCAATAATTAGTTATACATGTTACAGATTATTGAAGTCATTACCTATTTAAGATGTAATAACGACATCATTTTTTTATAAATTAATGAATTCATTTATTTATCCATCCTACGACGTATTTACAACGTCATACTCTTATTAATTTGTTAGTACAACGAATAGCTGACCTATCGACGTACTAGTTATATTATGGTCATCAATAACGTTATATAGTAATCTATTAATCACTATAATAACATTATAAATTGATCACTATAATAAAATTATTACAGGCATCAATTAATAACGTCATTTATTTATGTTAACAACATCAAAATAATGACGTATTTTCGATATCAGTTTATAACCTTATGTAACTGACAAATCCATCATTTTAAATATTTGATTCGTCAAATTATAGTCCTAAGAATAATGAATTAATGACATCAAATAGATAACACCTTGCTACTTGGATATATTATCTTAAGTATGTTTTGGATTTAACATACATTAAAACTATTCTATTTAATACGAACTTATTCTTATAATACACACTAAAGAATAAGATCATTGTTCAAAATTGACTAAGATTCGATTGCTAAAACTTAAAAAAAGAATTTTTGTCATGCTAGTATTGCTAAAATTTCATTGGCTGATAAATGTTCCAATTCATATTGTAGGCAGCTGTCATGTATAAATTGGAAATTATATTGACAAATTATTTAACTTATAGTCTTTTAATCCGAGAGAGAATTCAAAGATGTTTCTATTCAGAAAATTAATTTGTTAATTCATTTGTTATATGAAGTTCTTTCTGCCTATCAGATTCCTCTTTAATCGAAAAGCTCTTTTTTATCCTAAAAAAATATTTTTTATTTATAATATAATATATTATAGGACCGTACATGTGATAACACAAACTATAGAATCGAAGCCTTACACGGTCTAGCTGAATCTTAATGCTTGTATGATTCTTATGTGAATTTATATACTACGTATGTAGTCCCACAGAAGTTTTATTAAAATAATGATATGATTAATATATTATTCAGTTAAATACAGATAAAAAGACTATTTTATTCATGATATGTTTGTTGCTTATTTAGATAAAATCTATATAACAACCGCGCGCCCGTCTACGAAAAAAATAGAATTTTTCTAAATGAGCTTTATTTTCGATTTAGAAAGTATAAAGTACAAACCTTTCTAGAAAAACACATGTAGTTGAATATACTTTATGATGATATTGAATAGTTTCTATTTTATCTATTATTCCAAATTTTCTAATCATAATGATAAATTTTTCTGTTTGTTCTACTTTCTCTGCAGCACGCAACATTTCAGTTAGACAATCTAAGACATTAATAACATTATTACAATCCTCTGCTTCCAATAAATTACAAAAAGCTGGTAACAAGCCGGCATTTACTAATTCGTTCAAATGTTCAATTGATCCTATCGATATTATATCCATTACAGTCCATGCAACTATATATTGTGCCTCTTTTGTTCCCTACAAAAAAAATGAATTAAAAAATGAAAAATGTATTAAAAAATGAATTTATTTACAAAGTTCTTTATTGAAATATTTAAAGCAGATGTTCAGCTAATTTTTTCGTGTATAAACGTACTTACAAATTTAAGTATTTCTATCAATGGTGGTAATAAATCAGCATCTATCATACATTGGATTTGTTCTTCGGTATTAACCATTTTGTAGATTGCCGAAACAGTTTCCACTACAACACCTTCGTCGAGATAATTTCGCAACAAGGTACAAAGATACGAGAAACCTCCAGCGGAAATTACAGCACTTGTTTCATAAGTATCACCTGATTCTACTATATGTGCAACTGTGCGCAATGCTGGAAAAAAGATAATTTTTTCCTGCGACATCAGACACCCTAAAACTTGCGGTAGAATACCAGTTTCCAATAACGCATATATGTTATCATCGCATCCATCAGTAAGGTAAGCAAGCATCCAACAGGTATTGGCTGGAACAAACAGCGTTATAGCATCTCAAAGTTACAAGAAATTACATAATATATAAATATAAAATAAAACGTATATATCTTACAAATTACGCTTTGATTTCGAATAGTAAGTAGGTAACTGAAAACTGGTAGAATAGTTCTAATCCATTCAAGAGATAAAGGTGGATACGACTTTTTACATAAATGAAACATAGTCCTTACGATGTCGCGCATGAATATCATCTGCATATTTTATAAATATCAGAAAATATTGAGAAATGATATTTACTTATTAAAAGAAACATAGATTTAAAACTTTATTTAACATAAAAATTAAGTGTATATTGCTAATTTTTGTACTAAAAGCAAGCGCTTGCAAACATCATTAGCGTTGTTTAATATTTCAAAGTAATTTCATAAAAACATGTAACATTTCCAAAAATATATTTATTCTTACTCGTTTACATTAGATAAATGCAAATATTACTAATTCACATACTAATAAACAAAGAAGAAAAAAAGAAAAATTCAAGGACAAAAAATATTTTATTTGGACATATCTCATATAACAAATTCAAAATAAAAAACTATAATCTCAAACTATATTATCAGATAAAACAAATATTATAAAGAAACAGGAAAAAGAAATATTTATAAAAAATACATACTTTTAAATTTTAATTACAACTAATTTAATTTCTCTCGAATGAATATAATATATTGTATATATATATATTTAAGATTTTAGTTATCAATATTATACTTGTAACAATTGTAAAATAAAAAGCTATTTATAATAATTGTAAAATATCTTGATGAATAATTATTATTTACATTCTAGAATCATTAGTAAAATACAAGTTTGTCATTCACATATGAATAGTTATATATTTTTAGTATAGTATATATAATTTCTCTTTTAAATACTTTTAAGGTTCTATTTCTTAAATTATAATATATAATTAAGCTACAATTTAATTATATCATATTTATTAAGTTATAATTTAATTAATAGGATGTTACGAATATTATACTATTCTATTTTTAAATCAATACCAGACTAGTTTAATCACTTCACTTTCTTGTAATAAAGATACAAATATAATATTAAAAAGTCATTCATTGCTAGTATCAACAATTAACTATTAATAAGTGCAATCGATTTAAAAACATGTTTTTATCACATTAGGTAAATTAATTGGTCTCCGGTTTGCAAATAGCGTTTGTACACTCTCTAGACAAATGAACAAAAATCTTGTTTCTGAGTGTCAAATACGAAAGCAAGTAAGACAAATGTAATTAAAGGATATTATTAAATACATTGAGAAAAAAATATCCTAAATTTCAATAAATATTTATTTGAATAGTACCAACTAAATATTTATATTAAACATATATAAAAATATATTTGGTACAAAAAACATTAATTTGATTTAACAATCATTACTTTTTATTAAGTAAATATTTATTTATTATAAGTAAATGTTTAGCAATATTCAAATAAATATTTATTTAAATTTAGACTATTTTTTTCAGTGTACAATGTCACTTACTGAGGTATCAGAATTAATTAATTTAATCAAAAGGGGTAGAGCAGCATGATTAAGAGCAATATCACGTGCATAAGGTCTATCTTTCGTTATATTTCCTAAAATATGCACTGCTTTTCTTGCAATAAAAAACTCTGTGGACTTAAATAGCTTCACTAATTTTGATATTATTCCATGTTTTATAATACTCTGCTTTTGTTTGAATGTACCCAAACTCATGTAAGTAAATACATACATTATTTCAAATTGTAAGCGAAGACTGAATAAAAATTAAAAAATAATATCTTATTCTCATAAATATATGAAGAAACAATTTTATTTCGACAAATAATTTTTTCAGTTTTCAAATACATACTTGTGACAGCTATCTAAGAGTTCAATACTACGTGATACTATGTCATCTTCTACTATATCATTCATAGAAATTCTATTACGTATTCTTTCACGTAATAAGGTTTTGTAATTCTGAATTGCCACTAATTGTAATGTTTCGTTTGATGAGTATAAGTAATTTACAATTTCTTCTACAGAAAGACGAGAAGTTAATGTAACATTTATGTTTGATAAATCTGGTAATGCTTGCTTTGTATCAAGATTGCAATTTGACAATCGATCATCTTCTTTGGCTTTGCATAGCTCTACTGATAATGCGTCTCCGTTTATTCGTGCCTCCTAAGAAATATAAAATATGTAAAATGTTTTGCATCTACTTGTAGCGATCTACTGTATTAAATAATTAAAATAAAAGATTGAGAAGTATCGCGTTATCATTTACGTTACTTTTTTCGGTAACGATCGTTACTTTTTAGTGTCTGTAACGGTAATCGTAACATCGTTACATTTTTATAGTAACGATAATGAATTCAACTATTACTTTATCGTTATTTAGTCCCTTTTTATCTTTATAAGTATTTAATAGATCGCATTATTTTTCATTGACTAGAAATATTTTATAATAAACATGTAAATATCGACAAAAATATTTTGTATCTTAGGTTGCATTCTGATAGTCATTGTCAATACTGAAAATCTGTAGTATATACGTATCTCAAACTATAAATTTTCAGTATTGTCAGTAGATATTGGAATGCACTCTTATAATAATAACATTTAATTAATGTTTAAAAACAATGTTAAAAAATTGTTAACAAAATTTATATTTAAAATTACAATTATTTAATTTCCTAAAGGTAAGCGTATTATACATATACACTAAAAATATATAATATACATTAAAAAATAAAAATATTAATATAATTATCATAAAGAAATATTAAATATATGTTTAATGTAAAGAAAAGCTTGCTATATAGATTAAATTAAATTTTTAAGTTTTAATATTGATTTTTACAATTAATATTTATTATATTAATTAATATGAATTAATATTGATTATTAAATAATGTATATAATTTCTAAATCTAATATGTATCTTATTTTAACATTAAAAAAAAGTAACGAAAAGAAATATTGTTATTTTTAAAAATTAGTACCGGGAACAAATAACTTTATGTAGTAACATTCCCAACATCGAATTGTCTTAATAAAAATTATATATACAATCAAAAAGCATGCAAGTTGCGTTTACACATTGAGAAAAAAACACAATCGGTTTTAATAAATATTTAGTTCAATATTACTAATTAAACTTACAATAAATAAATATTTGTTCAATAAAAAAATTATTGTTCGATCAAATTAATGGTTCTTGTACTTAATAAATATATCTTTATATTTAATAATTAGTTTGCAGTATTCAACTAATATTTATTAAAATTGACTATATTTTTTCTTATAATGCACATAAAGTTAAATCTTAAATATATGAAACAGATATTTTTAAAATGTAACTTTTCATTTTTGTTGGACGGGGAATATGAATATTTTTTTAAAATTAATAATATGATTAATACCATACAATACAGATAAAATTATAATTTTATTTATAATATATTTTGCTTATTTAGGAAAACGTAATTTTTTATAATAAAAATAGTTTTCTACATAAATTATTTTTGTATTTATGAACATTGAATAAATGTACAAACCCTTTGAGGAAAGTACACGTTGATTATAGCCAAAGATTCTGCATAAACTCGTTCATTCTTATGATATTGGAGATTTTCTATTTTATCTAATCCTCCAAATTTTTTGATCATAATGGCAAGTTTTTCTGCTTGTCCTATTTTCTCTGCTGCATGCAAGATTTCAGCTTTACCAATTAAGGCATTAATAATATTTAGATTATTGTTTGATTCAAGTAAATTACAAAAAGCTTGCAACACGCCAGCTTGCACTAATTGGATCAAATGTTGAATCGTTCCTCCAGTTATCAAGGCAATTACAGTCCATGTGGCTATTATTTGCGCATTTCCCTAAAACAAAATTATGGATACATTCTACAATATATTCTTATCTACAATATATATAATGATATATTCTTTATCAAAATATTTAAAACAAGTTTGTGGCTCGTATATTTTCTTATGTATGCACTAGAATAGAATATAAGAAACATACTTACAAACTGAAGCCCTTCTATCAGTAGTGGTAACAGATCAGCACTTATTACACTTTGAATTCGGTCTGTATTGTCAACTATTTTAAAAATTGCCCAAAAAGCTTCCTCTACAATATATTTCTCATCGACACACAAATAATATCGTAACACGTCACCAAGACGCGACAATCCTCCCGCGGAGATTACAGCATTCTTTTGTGCATCATCGCCAATTGTCACTATATTTCCTACTGTACGCAATGCTGGAATAACGATAGTTTCTTTCCTCAACGTCAGACATTCTAAAAGTTTCGGTAGAATGCCTACAGTTTCCATTATTGCTTGTACATTATCGTTAGATCCATCGGTAAGGTAAGAGAGTGTCCGGCAGATGTCGGCTACAACAAACAGAGATATTATGTAAGTATTTAAAAATTAGAATAAATTATATAATGTATAAAATAACGATAAAACAGATAAAATGCGAATATCTTACAAATTATGTATTGATTTTTAATATTAAATAAGCAATGAAATACTGGTAGAACAGGTCTAATCAATCCAACACTTAGAGGTATATTCCTTTGACATAAATTAGATAAAAGCCATGAAATGTTGTCCATGAATGACACCTGCATATTTTATCAAAATCAGAAATATTGAAATATTGTCTACTTATTAGAAGAAACGTAGTTTTAAAATTCTACTTGACGTAAAAGCTAAACTTGTCTCGCTAACATTTATGTTAAAAAAACTTACAAACATCGTTATCATCGCATCTTTCAAAACACTTTGATAAAAATATGTTGTAATTTCCTAGGAAATTTCCTAGGAAAAATACATTATTATTACCTGTTTATATACGTTTTTTTATAGAAGAGATAGTGCAATAAAATCATAAGCGCTTTCAATTACCCAACACAAATATTATTAATTCAGATTCTAACTGCTAACAAAACTAAATTCAAGAACAACGATAAGTTAAAAATTCAAGAAATATTTCATTCCCCAATATAAATGTATACACTCCATGTATATAACTGATGATCTAATAAATAAAAAAATTATGAAAATTTACATTAGGGGAGCATCCCCCAATGACCTTGATCCTGACACATATTGTCAAGGTCATGACCTTGAGTGACCTCCAACAGGTTTTAGACGTCGCTCGTCTTTCGTCAAAAAGTTGTTAATAAAAAAAGTTTGAAAAATAACGTCTTATTCCTGCTATATATAATATTAAAAACTATTATATACCCTTCCTTGCTTACTTAATGACTTTTCACGCGAAGCGACTTCCCCCCCTCCCCGCTTCAGGGATGCACGACTTCTACGCGAAACGATTTTCACCTTACCTGTCCCCCTGCTTGGGGGGCGCACGACTTCTACGCGAAGCGATTCCCACCCCACCTCTCCCCCTGCTTGGGGGCGCGCGACTTCCACGCGTAGCGACTCTCATCCCTCCCTGCTTGAAGACAATTTATTTTATAACAGAGAATTTTGTTTTATATAGCGGAACTTTTTTTTTAATAACTTTTTAACGAAAGACAAGCGACGGCTAAAACCTGTTGGAGGTCACTCAGGGTCATGATCTTGACAACATATGTCAAGGTCCAGGTCATTGAAGAATGCTTCCCTAATACAAATTTTTATAAAAAAAAATTATGATCTCACATTGTTATCAGATAAAATAAAATATTGTGAAGAAAAGCTAGTAATTCTTTAAAAAAGATTATTTAATGAATTTCTTTCGGACAGTAGATTTGAGGTTTTTGTTATCAAGAAATTTATAATAATTGTGGAATAAACAGTTTCTTAATATATAATATATGAATTATTCTGTACTTTCGTATATAATTTTACTTCTTTATAAATAATTATTATTTAGTTTCTATAACAGTCATTAACAATCTCAGTTTGTCAATGCTAGTTACACATGTTTTGTATAATATATAATTCTCTCTTTCAAACACTCTCTTTCCATTTAAATACTATTTATGAAAATTACTTATAATTTAATTAGGTAATTAAAGTGTTACGAATATTACTATACCTAAATGTTCTAAATCAACGGATGTAGTTCGATTATCTTCACTTTTTTACAATAAAAATAGAAATATATTATTACAAAATTATTCATTACTAGTACCAACAATCAACTATTATCGAATGCAGGTGATTTTTAAAATATTTTGTCACTCTTATTTTGTCACTCAATATTTTATCCTCTTTTAGGCGCAGACAATAAATTATTTCCAAGATAATAAATATCCTTTTTAATTTATATTTTTATTTCTTGATGGATAATATTATATTAGGAAAGAACACTCAATATGTTCGCCAAGTTTCATAGAAAGTGAAACAGTTTGTAGCTTCCCTTTCGGAGTCATATTGTCAATACTGACAATATGAAAGCAAGTGAGATAATCAAGAGTGATCAAGAGATATTATCAAATACCACTTACTGAAGTATCGGATTTAATTAAATCTGCCAAAAGAGGTAGAGCATTATATTTAAGAGCAAAGTCACGTGCATATGGTTTATCTTCAATTATATTTCCTAAGGCACGCACTGCTTGTTCCGCGACAATAGGCGATGATTTAAGTAGTTTTATTAATTTTGATATTGCTTCACATGTTATAACATGCGTTTGTTTGAATGTATCCAAAGATATGATAGCTAATAAAGATGCTATTTGAAATTGCAAGGAAATACTGAAACAGAAGTAAAGAAATTATGTTTTATTTGTAAATAATTCATATATAAAGAAACAATTTATTTAATTTGATAAATCATATTTTCGTATACATACATGTCATTGTCTAAGAGCTTAATACAGCGTGGTAATATATCATCTATCGTATCATTTATAGAAGGATTTTTTTCTCGTTTTAATCTTGCGTAAGCTTGGATTCCCAGTAATTGTAATGTTTCATTTGACGAGTTTATGTAGTTCACAATTTTATCTACAGAAAGATCGGAAGTGGGTGAAAGAGCAGAATCTATTAGTTCTTGCTCCATATCAAGATTACGTTTAAATAATCGATTATATTTTATGGTTTTACATAACCGGACTGCATTATTTTCCATTCGTTTCTTCTAAAAAAATATATACATATATCAAGTACGTGTAAAATATTTCATACACATCTAGTAATATATCCTATATCAAGTAATTGAAATATCTTAACAGAAATTATATACAATAATGAAAAAGATGTATGTACAATATATTTACATATAAAGTTAAATCTAAAATATATGAAATATATAGAGAACTGAAATAAAAATGTTGGTTGCTATAAATTTTTTATTTAAGTTCTATAAATTAGAAAATAATTTGATATACACTTACTTCATATTCCATATCAAATACAATCATATCAGATTCAAATTTTGCTATGTGTCTATTGCTATCATCCTCTTGAGAAGACATTGTCTCGAAGATCTTGTAGATTCTCTGATTGCATAAATATTTAAAAAAAATTCAAATTAGAAATATACTCATAATGATAATGATAGATTAGAGTACAATAAGAAATAATTTATACATCCAAATCTGGTAGAATGCGTCTATAATTAACTTAATCAAAATTTACATTTTATTATGTAAAAAAATCTCGAATTATATTATAATACAACCAACGTAATACAATAATACAAAAACATGATTATATGTTAAACGTTCTTATTTTCAAATTTACTTTCCATAACAAATATAATTATTTCTATAGATATCTAACAAATATATATAAATAAAAAAACATGACTAAAATTTTATTTATATAATATCTATATAAATAAATTTTGATTTCAAGCATATCTTTACTAATTAGTCAGTGCAATAATTACCTGATCAAACTGTAGGTTCCCTTGCGAATGTCCGTGTTACTTGTTTATCTTAATGTCGATGACTGACAAGTTCGAACTCGTTGTTATTATCGCATCATATACTAAACTCTCTTTATTTCGGATATGAACAGCTAATCGAGTCTATTTTTGACGCCATAACGTCTGTCTCATATTAATCGTATCATGGTTGAAGTTTTTCTGAGAATCGAGAACGCTAATCGATTTAAAACATCGTTAACATATTAATTGTTATCGATGATAAGACGTGTTATATTACGATTATATTGTTAAGTGGGAAATTAAAACAGGTACATGTAATTTTGTTCATTTTCACTGGGCATTGTGTGTAAAATTGATCAGCGTCCTCGATTCTCAGAAAAACTTCAACCATGATACATTTAATATCAAACAAACACCGATGTTAGGGCGTCAAAAACAAACGCGATTAACTGTCAATAGACAATCAACTTCTTATCAAAATTTTAATAAATAATTGTATTTCGCGCCTCTTCCTTCAAGATAAAACGTAGTACTCCTTAACCATACGCCGGGGCGCCACAAACTTTAAAGACAAAATGTCCATCACACATGTTCCTCTACCGCGTGTCATTCTTTTTCTTTGTGCCGAGGTGACCACATCGGGGAGAGATGAATATGGGAAAAAGAAAATATAAAGACAGAAGTTCGGAAGACCCTGAAGAGAATAGGTTAGGAAGAAAAATGAGACGGTTGATGAAAGAATTTAAGAGATATAACGCACGTGGTAACAAAGATTCGAGTAAGTATAATGTAGGTTAGGTTACCAGAAGCTTCCTACATCTACGTTACGTAGAGAGGAAGAATAACGCATTTTATGCGGAATGGCTTGTACGCTTCGTCACGTCATAGGATTATCCTTTGAACGGGCCACAGGCTCTAACCTGTTGGCGAGATTATCTCAGACGAGAGGTTATAGTCTCCTCTAGGTACAAGCCACATATAAACGACCGATTTTATCGGACGAAGGAGTCATATTTTCGTATTTTACGAAGTAATACTCTTGATTAAGTGCATATACAGGTTTATGCCAAGTTATACCTTCGTATTTTACGAGGTAATACACATGGGTGTATATATGTGTAAATAATCACATGCGGTTGCGCTTTCGCAAAATTTGGGCATATAGATTGAGTAAATTGTTATGATTTCTCTTTTGTTAGGAGATCATGAATCGAGAGCGAGAATCTCGGATTGCAAAGATCAAACACAAGGCGTTGATCTAGAGCGTCGCTCTCGGAGCCCTTCACATGGCTCAATTGAGTCTACGCCGCCCTTAGAACTCTCTCCGAAGGAATGTTTCATTCCTGAGGCACAGAAAATCACTTCCGAAATAGACCTTCCGTTGGAGGTCCATGTACCTGTGGAAGATCAGCAGCCGTCTAAAGTGGACAACAGTGCTGCTTCCTCAAACATACAGGAGGAAGTCGCCATAGAGGATTTAGACATAGAAATCCTAGAGGCCATTGGCAGTCGAGTAGCAGAGGAGAGAGTATTGGCACCGGCCATTCCTAAGAGCGTGGCGGTCCGAATGGAAGATATTTTAAAGAAAGGTTTGCCAAAAGAAGAGAGAGAAAACCTCTTAAAGAATTATAACCCTCCAAAGAATTGCGTCATGATTGATCCTCCTAAATTAAATGAGGAGCTTAAAGTTTCCTTGAACGAAACAGCAATAAAACGAGATAAACGCATTATGGAAAAACAAAAGAAAATCACGGCTTGCCTTGCTATAATGGGTAGCTCTATTACTGAAATTATTTACAGCAAAAACAATAACAAAGACCAGAAGTTATCCTCTTCCCAGATCCTGTTAATAAAAAAGCTCAGCGACACTACACGATTAATGGCTGATTTACAAAGAGATGAGTCCTTGACTCGTAGAAGTCTTGTGCTGTCAATTATTAGCAGTTCTCAAAAAGAAACATTAGAATCATCGGTAGCAGAGGAATGGCTTTTTGGCCAGAAGTTAGGAGAACGGCTTAAGGCAGCGAAGATAATCGAAAGATCCAGTAAGGATTTGAAAGCAAAGACGAAAACCACGGGATCGACAAAAAACTTCAAAGGCCCTCCTCGACGTCAACCCTTCAAGACAGCGACATCGGGCGGGTACCGGAACAGAGCCTTCAGTCGGAATCAGTTCGGCAAGAAGAAGATAGGCAATCAGAGTGTAGCAACTCGCGACGATTCTCAATCGAACTCGACTACCCAGAACAATCAACAAAAGAAAGCTTAGTGATAGTGGAGGTAGGTAAGCCAGCAGGCAGATTGAAGTTTTTCTTGAAGAGTTGGAAAAAATTAACCTCCGATTCCAGAATTTTGAGTTGGTTAGAGGGTTACACGATTCCTTTTTCAAAATCAGTCTTTCAGAATTCAATTCCTAAAGAGCCATCATGGTCCTTAAAAGAACGGATAGATATTCGAGAGCACGTTAAAAAATTAGTCTCGAAAGGTGCTATTAGTAAGTGCCAACCGTGCGAGGATCAGTTCCTATCGGGAATATTCTTAATTCCTAAACCAGATGGAACGAATAGATTAATTCTTAACCTTAAGAAATTGAATGAGTTTATTAAAACTGAACATTTCAAATTAGAAGACATTAGAGTAGCGTGTAAATTACTTAACGCTAATTGCTTCATGGGTAGGTTGGATCTCAGGGATGCTTATTACTTGATTCCTATCGAACAAGGTTACAGAAAATACTTAAGATTCTCCTTTGAGGATACTCTTTATGAATTTAATTGCTTACCCTTTGGTCTAAATACGGCTCCTTATGTTTTTACAAAACTCATGAAGCCGGTGATGTGTCAATTAAGAAACTCAGGATATTTATCAATTATTTATCTTGATGATCTGTTACTTTTAGGAAATTCGCAGACAGATTGCTCGAATAACATTAAAGCAACAGTAAAACTTTTGGAAAGCTTAGGGTTCATTATTAATGAAGAAAAGAGTTGCAAAGTTCCATCGCAAAGCTGTAGGTTTCTTGGATTTGTTTTAAATTCACGGAAAATGACGTTAGAATTACCATTAGATAAAAGGAGAAAAGTCCAGGATCAGGTAAGAGCCTTCAAAAAAGTCAAGAATTGCACGATTAAAGAGTTTGCACAGCTGATAGGATTGTTGGTATCTTGCTGTCCGGCTATTCAATATAGTTGGGTACATATTAAGAGCTTAGAGAGAGAAAAGTATCTAGCGTTATTGAGATCCAAGAAGGACTATGAAGGATTTATGGTTCTAAGTCAGAGTTTACAGGAAGATTTTTTGTGGTGGGAACAGAACATTGAAAAGAGAGTGTCGAGTATCGCAAATCGTGAATTCAGGCTGACCATTTTCTCGGACGCCTCCCGTACCGGTTGGGGAGCGGCGTGCGGTAAAGAAAGAACTCATGGGTTCTGGAGTGATTCCGACAAATTGCACCATATAAATTTTTTAGAACTTCTTGCAGCTTTTTTTGGTCTTCAATGTTTCGCCTTAGAGTTAAGAAACTGTAATATTCTATTAAGAATTGATAATACCACTGCCATTTCGTATATAAATCGTATGGGTGATGTGAGATTCAAAAAACTTAGCAATCTCGCCAAATCCATTTGGAGATGGTGCGAAGATCGCGAATTATTCATTTTCGCGTCATACATTTCGTCAAAAGATAACGCGGATGCAGATTTTGAATCTAGAAGGCTAGGAGACGGAACGGAGTTTGAGTTATCAGAGACTGTTTTCCGCAGAATTGTTAAGGAATGGGGACTCCCAGAAATAGATTTATTCGCGACAAGGATCAATACAAAATGTAAGGACTACGTCTCCTGGATCAAAGATCCTGGCGCAATAGCGGTAGATGCCTTTACCTTAAGTTGGAATAAGTTTTTCTTTTATGCATTTCCACCATTTATAATAGTTTCTAGAGTTTTACAGAAAATTAGATCGGAGAAAGCGAATGGAATAGTAGTGGTGCCATTTTGGCCAGCACAACCATGGTTCCCTTTATTCCGCTCAATGCTGGAATCGGAACCCTTAATAATTAACCCTAACAAGGATGTGTTACTTTCTCCGGACAGGGAGCCGCATCCTCTTTGGAGGACGCTTACCCTGGTGGCAGGAAAATTATCAGGGAAGCCTTCCTAATAAACGGCATCCCCGAAGAAGCTATTAAGATCTCCATGGCCTCCTTGAGTGAATCATCTCTCAAGCAATACGACAGTTCGTTGAGGAAATGGTGGTTTTTTTGTAAATCCAGAGAGTTGTCCTTGTATAAAGTAAAGATAGCAGATATTATCAAGTTTTTGACCTTACAGTTCGATAGAGGAGCATCCTACGGATCTCTTAATTGCATTCGATCGGCTATCTCCCTTATCGCGGGAACAGAAATCGGAAGGAATGAGAGTGTTATGAGATTTTTCAGAGGTATATCTAAGTTAAGACCTCCAGAACCGAAATACGACTCCACTTGGGATCCGAAGACGTTGCTAGACTTTCTCAAGAAATTACCAAATAACACCTTATCTTTGGCTAAACTTAGTAAGAAGTTAATAGCGTTGTTAGCTTTAGTAACGGGCCAAAGAATTCAAACCTTGTCCTTAATAGATATAAGGAACATCGTTATAAGAGAGGATTTGATCGAAATTAAAATCCCGGATAGAATTAAGACGTCTAGACCCGGATTGAAACAACCGCTGTTAGTTCTACCCGTTTATGAGAAGGATCCAAACATTTGCCCGGTTAGAACACTCCAAGTTTATCTCCAAAAGACCCAAGATCTCAGGAAGGATATCAATTCGATATTTATATCATTCAAGAGACCCTTTAAGAAGGTGTCTTCTCAAACGTTAAGCAGATGGCTAAAGGATATATTGCATAGTAGTGGGATAGATACAGATATTTTCTCAGCGCACAGCACTAGACATGCGTCCACGTCTGCGGCTAGAAGGAAAGGTGTCAATATTGACATTATTAGAAAATCGGCTGGATGGACTAAAGAATCGGCCACCTTCGCAAGATTTTATGATAGGCCCATTGGCCATGATGTAAAGTTATTCGGACAGGCTATTCTAGACTAATAACAGTTTCTAAAACACAAGTACGAGGTTTATATAAACAGAGTTTCTATGTAACCTTATTTCTTAAATAAACTCTATTACATTATCTTCTAAGAGCTAAGTTGCGAACGCAAAGGATATTTAGCCGCAGCCATCTTTAAACATCTACGTTTTATCTTGAAGGAAGAGGCGCGAAATACAATTTAATGATTAAACGAACTTACCTGTAAGTGAAGTTCTATCATAATTGTATGAAGCGCCTCTTCCGAAAGATAAGTCCCCCCCTATACCCACGTCCGAGAAGCTCGGACCCCAAGATGCTGGGAACTGGCTGCGGCTGGACTTTAAAAAAAATGACACGCGGTAGAGGAACATGTGTGATGGACATTTTGTCTTTAAAGTTTGTGGCGCCCCGGCGTATGG